GATTTACTAAAAAATATTCCGTTCATATAAAAGATACTATAATTTTCGCAAAGGAAAAAAAATGCGATGTCGCGTTTAAACGTTCAGTTATTCAGTCGGAGCCAAAGGTATCGAGAAATTCAGAAAAAGACAATATTTCAGTCCATACGAGTTTATGGGATCGTAACTTTATTTCCTTTCCTACAACATTGGTACAACATGAAATGAGCGCATCGCTCGAATCTTCGAGATAATTGTCGACGAAGCGTCCCTCTGCGTTCTCTCTTGCGCGGCGTCGTCGCGACAAGCGATCACGACGATCGCACGGAGCGCGCACGCATATGTGCCGTTGATAAGAGACGCTATCGGTATAAAATACAAGTACGCACGTGTTTATAAAAGTACATACATCAACGTCATTTTGACCACAAGAAACGATACTTCCTCTCGCACATCTCAGAAATGATCGCCACGCAGATAATGAACACCCCGACAGTTCCCTTCCCTCGTTAATGAATGAAGAATAAAAGAACATTCAAGAAATGGCTGACATCAAGATTGAGCTCAGAAAACTTCTGAGGAAAGATCCCTTCCAGATTGACGATAAACGGATTTCTCGTGCAAGACACAAATAGAATTATGCTAAACGAAAAACGAGTCGTGTCATTCAAGGCTTTTAATAACGATTATTTCGATATTAAAAGCGCTTTATTTATTATTACGCTTGGATAGAAGTAAGTATATAATTTCATTCTCTTCGACACATAAAAAGAGTTCGTAACATTTAAATATTCCGAAAGACATGTGAAATCGGGAAGATCTTTGTGGCGCATCTTAATTGTTTCTCTGGTCTATATGTATTATATCACGGTATGACATTTAGGATTATAATATTTCACCGAGATATCATATGCGAGTCCAACAACGTATACATCAGAGTTCAACAACGTACATCGTGAAAGCGATAGAAATGAAGGATCCCCATCGCATATTTAAATCGCTGAATAGCGTTACCCGCTCCTCCGTCTTTCGTCCGCGTTAAACGAAAAGCCGAAAAACGGGCACCGAAGCGAACGAAGTTCGCTAGATTGACTTACAGTTCGATTACTGTCAAAGGCGCGATTTTCAGTTCAAAGTTAAAAATTATTCCGGAAGAATGTGAACATCGTGTAGAAGCACTATTACGGATTCGACTAACGACACAAAGGAAGAGCTCTATACCGATTTTCTTTACGTAGCGAAGAGCGCAAAGAAGAAGTCCCGCGATTCTACAATACAAAGATACTAGCACATCGATCCGAATTAATCGGCTAATTTCCGTGGAATGCCATGGTAAATGTCTCAGTACACGCACTTCGAAAAAACGACATATCGAGAGAGTTATGTAACGTCTATAAATCGCCGATGAAGATACAACTGGACCCAGCATCCGAAACATTCGTCGCCAGCAATCTCTGGACTGCTCTCGCAAACGTTACGATTTCCGTCTCCCCTTTACAGCTCGATAAACGAAGAGATGAGGAACATAAATTTAACCAACGTTTTTAAAATATAAACGGAGTCTAACAATAAGTACAAGATGCATATTTTTATAACAATATTTCCATTAACTTCGCTTACGCAACTCACGTCTGTAGTGAGGGGTTTTTACATTTATATTAAACTTGTGCAAAATTCTAAGATGGAACGGATTGGCACTGCGAGTCGCGACTCGCGAATGTTTTCTTCTTCTTTTGTATATCATCCGTATAGATATTTTCATACGGATTACAATTTCGCTTAATCATTAAATAACTTTCTTAATTATTAAGTAATTTTTTCGGTTGTCTGTACTCTCGAGATGGATTATCGAGTTTACGTTCTGTACATAAATATATGAAGAATGTATTCCGATACGTTCTCACGAAAGGGTACACTCAAAATAATTCCCTTTTCTCAAAAAGTATCAAGTCCGGCTTCGGGATAACGACTCGTGTAAAGCGTGACACTTTTTGAGAAATTATATAATTGCTATTGATCTATAAGTATGTATAAGTTCATTCTTCGGCAGTCCATGATCCCTTAATCCTTTAATTCCACGATTTCTTCCAGCAAAACTGTCATCCCTATATGTTACAATTAGATGATGTACACCTTAATTTAGAGACAGTTAAAAAATTAAGTATAATAACGCGCGCGCAGTAACCTTAGAGATAATTAGGATGTCAGTTGTACTTGAGACGCAGGTCGATTGGCGGTAAGTACAGTAATGAATTTAATTAATATCGTATAGCGCAACAAGAACAACCGATGAGGTACGTTAAAGATTCTAGAAATCTATATATCGCGAACAAACATCCACGTTACATTTATGATACACGGTGTCATTACACATTTTGCATCTCGCAGAATTCGAGGAAGGCGCGGCACGATGCGGAATATGTGAGGATGAACCGATGAGGAATATACGAAATCTTTGGTCGTACGTGAAGACGTGCGAACGAAGGCAGTGAGAGGGATCCTTTCGTAACGCGTTCATAAATAATAATCTTTGGCAAAAGTAAGGAAGCTCCAGAGTTTCGATTGAATTTAAATTTAACGACGAAATATACGAGATGTATAAAATGTGAAATCTGGACACCTATAAAGTGCGATTTGTGTGAATTACGCGGGTATATGTATATACTTTAACGGTCCATAAAGGAGCGAAAGACGTTTAAAAGAGGCCTGAAGATTTGCAAAACGTCTTTTAAATATCTTTACTTGAATTTTTTTTTTAGACATGTCATACGGAGTTCTAGGCAACCCCGTGGATTGTTGCATATATTGTATTGAGAACACGTTTGCAGTTTGCAGCTTGAAACACGGCGTACGACTTGCGTCTTCTTGCAAATTCTAATCTGCCGATTACGCTAGTGGAATGTAGTTGCAGTATTCGGATTTTTGCAATAGTGTTTAATGGATCGGATTAATATACCGTCGCGGCGAAAACATGTCTTATACAATTCGTTATCGTTCATTTATTTTACTTTATTGACGTAGCGTTTAATCCTTTTGATACCAAATTTTAGCTTGTCTTATCACAAACTGCTGCAACACGTTTTCTATTAGTTCTTTAAAGTGTAATATATAAAAGAAAATTAAAACATCAAATCTTCTTTCCAATGAAATGCCGATACAAAAAATTCATATTTTTGATATAATAATATGCCTTTTTAAATTGATCAAATGGTACTGAAAGGATTAAACAATTCTAAACGATTAATCTTCGACGATTAATCTTTCTTTTACACACGATGTGATTGACGTGACCGCGAGCGACAAACGTCATCCAGAAGTGCAATATCAAACCATCGTCTCCCGAAAGATCTTCACCGACGAGTCCGCATGCTTAGTATGCACGTATCTCGTTATCGTCCTGACGGCGTTGTTGTTGTTATTGTTGTTAATGCCGTTGAGTAGCTCGCCGCTCCTCAGCCCGGACTTTGCCTCCGTCTGCACCTCCCTCGTCGTTTCTGCAGCCAGGAACGACAATATTCTTCTAAGCGACAACTGTTATCATGCATTGCCGTGAAAAAAGAAACTCAATTGACGTCAAGATTTGAGGTTTTACAGTGCTACGGGATCGATTTCGCGGACGACTTGAACCGGAATAATTTCTACGTTTCTCGATTTCAGACGAAAATTCATTAATCAATAATTCACGAATCTCTCTTTATTGCCGAGAGAGAAACGATAAAATTATTCCGAAGCTGCATCTCGTATTTTAGTGCCAAGAAGATAATCCTTGTTGTCGCTTCTCTCGAGTAAGAAAATATAATACACGAAACGACAACAAAAATTAACTAAAATCAACTAAAATTATATAAATACACCTCTGTCAATGTGCAACAAATAATTACGGTTAGACACCAAGTGTGCAAATAATGATCGAGTATATGAGAAACATGTATCGAAGACGATCCATCAAAGATGCGTGTGTTCGTACATTTTCCTTTTCTCTCTTTTTCTATGTGGGCTTCTCGTATACTGAATGTCTAGGGTACTTGGTTAATAACAAACACTGCACTCGAATCGCAGCAGCGCAGATCGCAGAAATTCCGTATATATACATACGATCCTTACCGTGTGTCAGTTTACTCGAATCGCGTCACGACCCGCCGCAACATCAGTGTGATTATAAATTGCGTTTAGACAGATTACACAAAATGACGAAAGAGCGTAAAAGACGTATGTCGTGTAAACTGCGACAAGAGAAATATAAGCAATAATATGAAAGATAAAGAATAAGCAGAAATATACTGCTGAATATTCTAAAACAGCGTATAAATAGATTGGATTTTTATAAGAAAAAGTTGTTATCGATCGTTTATGCGTGAAGGTCTAGGTGCGGCGTAAGAGAATAATATGTTATTATTTATGCTTTCCAATTTTTTTTTCCGCCCCCTCGGATCTGCCGTACTGCGCTCCACGATTAAGATTTGCGGCTGCAGCGGTTATTGGAAGTGCGCAACGTGCGGAAAATTAAATGAAAATACACACACGCTCTGTGAAGCAATAATCGATAAGTGTAACCTCGAGATAAAAGGGAAGTGCAGCAAAATCGCCATTCAACAGCAATAGCACACGTATAGGCTCTCGTGTCACACAGTGAGACAAATGTTAGCCAGTTTTTCTTATACTGTGTCTCTAATCTAAACGGAAATTTGCTTTATTCAATCTTGAAATAAGGATTTTTTTGCGGCCCGTATTTTCTATATATTAATAAATAACATACAAATAAATATATATAACAAATAATATAATTGATAAATGTACTCCGCCGCATTTTGCATGTCACGATTCTGAATCATTGACGGTCAAAATGGTTTCCGTACGGACCTCGTATTATATTCCGCATACACATATTTCCATGTGAAAAGAAAAAAACAAAGTAGATAAAGGGAAGCACGTCATTTGTCGAATTTAGAATCGCCGTTTAATCGAATTTTTATACGGGAAGAAACTGAAACTGCAGAAGGAAACAAATAAAGAAAGCAACGTTCACGTGTATGAAAAATAAATTTATATTTATAAAATGGGGCAGATATATTGCATATAGGTTTGTCTCGTCGACGAACTATATTTACACTCGAACGAGAGGAATTCGCGATACATCCTTTCTTACGGTAGAAAATAAAACAAAAATGCAGTACAACACGTCGGAAATCTGAGCGCGATTCCGTCGCTCGCAAGATTTCTCGTTTTAAAACTAGTATGGCAAATTGGAAACGACTGATAGCGGATGCTCGGACAATTGTCGTAGGTATATTCGCACGGATTCCCCGGGCAGAGATCCGTCTCTCGGGATCATTTCGGCGAGCGGGGAGAGGTATAACGTTAAGTCACAATTGTCACGGCATTACTCCACGTCCCGTCGCCACGTGGCGGGAAATTCCAGCGAGACAGATAATCAAATATCGCGCGACTATAATCAAATACCAAAGTTGCCGATCTATCGCCGAACTGCTTGCCACGCATCACCCCCACCCGGAAAAGATTTCGCTGTTTTGTTCGCGATGTGCACGCTTGACGATGTGCACTCATCCATGCTCATCGTCGAAGAATCACGAGACATCGACAATTACGAACTGGAGGTACGTGGAGTAATGCACGCTAACATCACAAGTAAGCTCGAACTTCCGTCTGTCCCCCAAGTCGGGAAATCCCCTTTTGAGGAATCCCCTTTTAAGTCCGTTCCGGTTCGCGCGTCTTCTCATCCGGTTAATTAAAACTTCGTTATGAACGTTCATTTGTACATAACAGTGCTGTCCCAGTTGTCGTCCGTTAAAAGTCTTTTGACGTGTGTAATATCGCTTTTAAAAAACTTATCTGCAATCTCTGCACGGATGATGCGGAAAACTATTGCAGATCGTACTATAAAATACTATAATTATATATTAAGAATAATAGTATTTGATATTAGTAATAATATACTTTTAAATAGTGATATACGTCAAAAACTTTTAACGATGAGCTCAGACTAATCTCCCTGAGACCGAGTGAGAAAATAGGTATGAAGCGTGAAGTAGGAACGACAATAGGCATGAACACCGACACATTTCAATTTCAAGCCCAAAAGTATGTACTATATACAAAGTCCTGTACAGCGCTGGTATATAACACCAGATGCTCGTAACTAACGCTCTCCTGAAACTTCCCCCCCCCCCTCCCCTCCGGACTGCGCGATAATGTAACAATAACAACGAACGGAGCAACCCTCGTCTCACCGTCACTCCTCTCTCACGCGACCGACATCTCCGTCACATAAATTAATATCTTCTCACTTAATGAGCTAACAATAAATTTAGCTTTGGCAGTAGAGTCCACTTAGTCTACGCGCTCGTGAAGAAAATTCAGCGAATAGATCTCTTCTTGGCAAGGGCATACGTATGACGGTAGTACGTTCGCGCGTTACAAAAAAAAAGGGGGGACATGCGAGTTTTGCGCGATATCGCTGCGAATCCTTTCTTGTTATATCGAATGAAAATGATACGCGAAATATTAGAACGGCACAGACGGTACAACGGCAATACTATTCAATTACGAGAGGAGAGATATATGGTTACACAATAAATAAAATCTGCGATATATATATATATATATACATGTTATCTATAAATCTAGGATAAAATTTCATGTATGTATATATATAAATATATGTAGTATGCAACGTAGGATATAATTATCAAGGACAAGAACACTGCGAGGTAATAATTTCCTTGAAAACAAGTACCCGCGCGTATCAAGGATCTGGGGACTTTTATGTTTAAAAATAGCCTAATAGGATAACGTAGCATTGCTCGCACAAGTGCCTCGTATACTGGTAACGATTTCATCAGTCTGTACGTATTTTGCTTGACACTGTACAGCGGCGTTAACTATATCACTACTTTCATATCCACACGCTCTAAATAATGTAATATTACGTAACGTTGTTATACTGGTTATAAATTATATACGACTATAAATGAAGGAAACAGTTTTATATATCACTCGGGTATCTTCTAAAAAATATGGGTAAAACATCGACAATTCGAGTGGCATGCACATGCAGAACGTCGTTTCACATCGAGATGTGTGTTTTCACGCGGCATGCACGAGGGTCGCGTACGAAATTCATATTTCACGACCGAGCGCGAGGCGCGAGCGAGAAACACCGTTAATAACTAAAATCGTATCCCCTCTTCTACTACGTCACGCTTAGGTCACTTTAAAACGTCAGCGCCAATAAATAACATAAAACGTCTCCTCGCAGTTTCTTCAGTAATCGTTCGTACGGCTTACAAATTGCACATCAAGGAACGTATTGCATTCACGATTAGTTAGGCACATTGTCAACAGGAAAAATAATATATATGTATATTCACACACCATGTGAAAATAAATTATAGTCGTACATTAAGCAATGATGTGTGACTGTAAACACTATCTCGATCACTACTTAGCACATCGAGAGAAGATAGCACGAAGACGAGGAAGTAAGTTTTATGAAAGGAATACTCTATGTAAGTAGAAAAAAAAAGATAGCCATCGCAGTGACGGCGACTGTTGCATCTAAGACAAATCGAGAACGGACAAGTCTCGCTTCGACACAGGTCACATCATTCGCGCGATATTTTCCAATAGGAGAAGCCTCCTCGATATTTCTTCATTCTCGATCCGGCATAGATGCAACAGTGCGATAAATAAATGAGGAACATCATACACAAACGCTTGTAAGGTGCAGACTAAAGCGAATTCTCAGGATACTACACAACAGCACTTTCTACATCTAGTCCGCTTTCCCATAATGTTGCTCTTATATCGTTCGGTGACTCTGTAAGCTTTCAACTTTAATCTAGCGTTTCCCGCGTGATCACTGATATCCTGACTGTGCGCCGAATTGCTTCTCGTCGTGTTCTTCGAGGTGCACTTTTTCTGATTGCTCTCACAACTTATGATCTCGGCATCGTGACTTACCGCGTGTATATCTGGGCATATCTTTATCACGTGGCTGTCGCAATCTTGATTTCTGATAGGCTCTATCCTCGTGCCAGCCCTCGCGCACGGCGTATCGCTGCTTTCCACGTTTTTTCTGTCCGGATTCGCGTCGGTCTTATCGCGCCTCTTCCGCAATGCCAGAGAGCTCGACTGATTCTCCAACAGGATCTCGGTGCGCTGCGTGTTCTTGAAGCAAGATTCATCAGGGACGTTCCGTTCCATGGTCAATTTGTCGTTCGTTTCATCGGGAACGACGTCGCTCTTCACGTAAAACGCACTCCTCACGAGAGCTCGCGCTTCAATCATTTGACACTTCGTCTCTTTGCACATATCGCATTCGTCCTCGATGGATTTCCTATCGTCCTCGTCGAAGTACAAGTCTCTACTCGATATCACCTCGTTGTCATTCGAGTACGCGTTATTCTCTTTCCCTACTATTCTATCCGCGCTCAGAATCAATCGGTTGCCGTCTTCCTCGTCCGTCTTGTCGCAAATCTCGTCCGACTTCTCCGAGCTCACAGCATCGCCGCTCAGCGTTTTCGTGCGGCCGTCCGAATACGTGCTCAATTTGTTTTCCGAGTAATTGCTCAGCCTGTCGTCGTGGAAGTACACGGAGCTCGCGTTCGACTCGAAGTTACTCGCGTTGATTATGGCAATTCGCGGTATAATCAGATCGTGCGGCAGTCCGTCGACGATGTCCGGGGGACTCGAGTTCGAGGAGGATCGGTGCACGAAATTACTAAAGGAATGGTAGCCCGGCTGACCCTTGCTCTGGACCCAGGCCTCCGTCAAAACGTGGGATCGTTGCCACGACACGTCGCTGTTGCATCGGTTCTTCCTCACGCACCACTGCTGATCGTCAGCGTCGGACCAGGAGGAACGCAAATGGCACTCGCTGGGACTCCTCTTGATGTCCGAGACGTCCACCTCCAGCTCCGCGTCCTCGTGCTTCTTATTTTGCACAATCAGTTCTAATCTGGACTTGAGTAAGGCCGGCGACACAGCTCGGTCGATGTGTCGCCTCGACGTGATCGACGTCTGAATCGAGCGCGGTATCGACGTCGTGTTGTCACCGCCGATGTTGTTGCTGTCGATGTGATCCGTGTACAAATCGGGGACCTCGCCGGAGGCCATCAGCGCGTTCGGACTCGGACTGTCCATACTATCTGGCGTGTAAGGATCATGCTTAACGGGTATTGCGTGCAACAGATTAGACGAATAGTCAATAGAATCCGCGCGCGCGTTAGCGTAACTATTACAATCAGGCAACATGGACAACAACTCCAGATAATTGTTGGGCACTCGGAAGCAAAACTCAGGTGCAATTGGCAAGTTGCAGCAGTCTATCATACCTGCGTCCGAGATGAGATTAGCCTTCAAGTAGACTGGCTGTAAATGGCAAGAAAAAAAAAAGATAACGAATTTTTATTATCGTGCGTCATGGTGAGAAGATGATAAGACGATATGTGACAGGTTTGTATTGGAGGATCTATGGGAGAGGTAGACGATCTCAAGCTAACATTTCGTCTTCATTCAAGGGGACAATGACATAGTAATGTACTTTTCAATCTGTTAACTTTGTCGATATGACAGTTATCGAACATGCGCGCAAAACTTTAAAAGAATCAATATTTTGCAGCGTTATATAAATAATAATCGTACAAATTTTAAAAAGAATCAATATTTTGCAGCATTATATAAATAATAATCATACAACATTAATTTTCAAAGTATAAAAATTATGACATTTTTTAGATATTTTTAGATATTACCTTATACAATTTAATCAATGTTTGTAAGATTGTGTTTGTATATTGTAACACTGCCTGTGTAGAGTACAATTAATAATTTAAATTAATATACTGCATAATTAACTTATAATAAAATTAATATTATAATTAATTAATAATATAATCTATTTTACGTACATCATATATTTATTTTCTATAACGTAATATTCCCCTAAAATTAAATTGAATTTTAAAATCAGCAGCTATTAAACATGATTACCGCTATTTTTATTATCATGCTATCGTATAGTAATAAATATTCCCGTCGTGTAACCGAAAGCTTTATGTATTGCGTCATGTACAATGTAGTGAAATGTTGTTTAGCGTTATAGAAAAAAAAACGCAAGATTCGTTACAAGGCGTATTGATAATTAGATTGAAAAAGTACAATTATTCCATGATAACGATAATGAAGCTAAGAATTATGAGAGAGAAAGAAACAGACAGATTCAAAGTAACGTAGAAAAATATATATATATATACTTCACAGGATACTACGTGTGTGGAGGTACTACACTTAAACAAGCCCCTTATTGTCGAGATAACGAAATACTAACGGAATAAAGAGACGTGAAAGAGACATAGGGGATTTCAGATAAGAACAGACAGACAGTTCATAGATAAGTACCTTAGTGCTTAGAGATTCATTCGAAACTCCAGAAAAACAGGCTGCATCATAATAATTGAAAGAATTGGATCATCAGAATAAGAACTAGGCAGTGTGTAAGTATATGTTCCCAGCATAAAGTCGTAAAAAAATGTCGTAGTATCGTTTTTTATAAATGTAAGAAAAAGATGGTAAACGGGAAAAACTTTTAACTCTTACCTTGTGATCACCCATGCACGTAGTTGGGCCGATTATACCGTACTCCACTGCCTTGGTATCGTCAATCTGTACAAACGAATCACGAGCGTTACATTAAATCAATAAATTCCATCACAATTCACTTTTAGAAATCGCTCTATCGTCGATCGCGAATATAAGTTCCACGGGAACACGTACATCTTGGACTAGCGTTTTCGCAGTGGGACTCAATAAAACCCGATCGCACCAGGCTGGCACTCTCGTTTGCATATAATTCACAGGCTCGTTAATATCCTCCTGAAACGGGTAACTTGGCGCGAAGTTGATTGGAAACTCGAACAGCCGTCCCTCAAAGTCTCCCAGTTCCTTGTCATACTCGCGTAACTGTAATAAATATTGATAATAAATATTAATAGTTTTATTAACGGCGTTGCAATCTGTCGTTTGAATATGGATCACGTCATATACATATATGTATAAATGGAATACGTAAAACTCACCCATTCGCCGCTGTTTTTGATGAAAACGTTCTGATGCTCGTAGTGAGAAAATTCCTTTTTGCCTAATGTTAATATGAGATCATCATTTCTATTGTGAAATTGCAATTTCGAAATATTTCCCGTTGATGATTTCTTTTCTTCAGTATCTTCTGTCAGTTTCTATTAAAGACAAATTAAAGTACTGTAATACGTTTGACTTTAATATAACTGTTTCATGACTGTACTGCTAAATCTTGCTTGTATCAATAACATAGATGTGTACTAATTTATTTGTAAACAATTAATATGCTCTCTCTTAAGAACTTTTTGAAATATTCGTGTCTAATTTTTCTCTTTGCTTTTTATCGAAATCGTGACTGCTGATGAGTCTCACCTTTATTACACTCGCCGTGTCTGTCCTAAAATTAAAGTCACCAAATAAAAAATACGGCACATTCGGATACTTGTCATTGTGAAATCTATCTAATGTATGCTCGAGCGCTCTTCTACGCGTTTTACTGTACACCGATGGAAACTGCAAAAAAATTGTCACGAATTAGAAAAACAAATCGGTACAAACGCACGCAAATTAATTGTATATACGGGACAGCACTCGTAAAAGTTCCTTACCATCTCCATAGCAATAAAATTGCTCGCGTCATGAAATAAGTGTATGTTTATGAGATCAAAAACTGTGCCACTAATACTCCATCGGGTACGCAGAAAACCTTTTCTGGACCATTTGCATTCTGGGAAGAATTCTTGAGGGAACTTAGCTTTCTCTTTGGTACTAACGGCTTCTATGTTGCCCGAATGGACCTCTTTTCCATTAACAGGTGTAAAAGATAACTCTAAAATCGCGCATAATAAGTTAGAAAAATATTGCACACGTCTACTGGGAGCAAATTTAAAATAAAGGTTATACGCGACGTACCGTTAAAATCCCATAATAAAACATCGTTCAAGGACTCGTGCACGAAGTAGAAATTTCCTAGAGCCTACAAAAGAACCTTGATGAGAATATTGCTCCGTTTAAAGCAATCGAGTACTCTTATATAGAAGATATATTTCCGCAACTCACTGTGAAATGTTCAGCGGATGAGTAATCCTCGTCAAGAAATACCCTAATTTTGTCGAACAACCTTAACTCTTCCGACGACATAAGTAATCTGTAAATAACGTGTATTGTTTATGCGTTAAGTTAGAATAGAAAAACTTCAGAATTGAAAATCTCTTATAAATACATTTTTCAAACAATCTTTTTTTTATATGTAATATATGCATTTCTCTCTCTCTCTCTCTCTCTCTCTCTCTCTCTCTCTCTCTCTTCCCTATGTCAATATCATACAATCAGCTTTATCTTTTGAAGTGACTCACTCAACTATAGAGCCACGCGTGACGCGTCTATTTTTATCCCTTTCTACCAGTTATGCGTTAAATCATATTCAATATCATATATGTGGAAAGAGAAAGCGCTATTTGTTTTTGGTATATTTATAAAAGGTTTAGATATAATATCGGCACAATGATAAAGATCAAAAGTTAAAACGTCATACAGATTGGACTGGGAATATTTTACAAAAACAACATCGGGCGCGATTGTGTATATACAGGCTCTTATCTTAATAATTTAATTACAGCCAAATATTATAGCTCTTGGAAACCTTCCAAGAAGCTCCAATAATAAGATTACAGCACAATGTCTTCGGAATTTACAAAAAGGTCCGTTTCTACACGCGTGCAATTTATCACGCCGCCGTATATATGAAAATGTCGTTGCGTGCTTTTATCGGAAGCGACAATAATGATAAAATGCGTCCATTTGTTTCTATAAGCGTACATAACGGAGAGAGAGAAAACATCAGAGAGAAAAACGCGCGGATCGAATCCAGATGAAAAAATATCGACATTTACCTAACAAAGTCCTCCACATGCCTCATACTCTGCTCGTAATTCTTTCCACCTACTTCTTGGCAGTGCAGCGCTATAAATTTCGGATCCAGCCTCGATATGGTCTGAAAAAGCAATCCGCTCGTAAAAAAAAAAAAACAGGCCGCGCGCGCTCGCTCGCCGACGGACGCGCGGCGTGTCGAAGAGTGAAAACACACCGCGCGTGAGTACCGCGCGTGTAAAAAGCCTCCCGCGCGCGTCGCACGGGAGGATGTACTTACGGATAAAAACTCTTCCGTCCATATCTTCAGCATGACACTAGGCTGCAAGAGAGAATTCGCTCGTATCAATCTGTGAAATCCTTCATACTTCGTGCACTTTAAAGAAAAGCTTAATGAGATGTTCGAGGGCGCGCGGGATATATTAATAGATCGTTAACGTCACCGCGCAAGGATATATCGGCGCGCACCACCGCAACCTCTTCCTCTCCCCCCCCCTCCTACCCTCCCCTTACCCGCCGTCGCCGCCACCCTCGCCCGATGCCCGACGGCAAAAAAGCCGGCGCCGGGAGAGTTCTTTTCTTCTTGCGTTTCGCGCAAATGAACGATACGACATAATCGATCGCGTGGCAATAGAGAACTCTCGCGAATCCACGCGTCGCGTCGGCGATGGCGGGTGTGTGTGTGTGCGCGCGAGTCTCACTCTCTCTCATCTCCCGATGAAACGGATCCCCGCAACGCGGTGTTGGCACGAGAAAATTGGCGCTACGATGGAAGTATAAACAAACGTCGGTGCCGCGCACGCGAGAGTCTCGATATCGGGCACGCGTGGTTTCCGACCGTCCCGTCCGTTCCGTCCGCGTGATTATTACCGCGGTGTTGTTATTATTATTTGTTGCCGTTATATTGAATACAATTGCCATTAATCGTCGACCATTAATAAGTCAAAATTGTTCACGCGAGCTCTCCTCGTTCTCGCGCGTTTTAACCGTCAAAATTATTTACGTAGGCTTTTTTTTTTTTTCGCGCCGGCAGATCGATACGCCCAGGGACGCGAAGCGCAATATAGAAAGCGCTCCGCGGAGCGAATCTCTCAATTCGGTAATCGATCGTTCCAGCGAGAATTTCTCCTTCGTCTCGAGGACGCGAATAGATACCACACCGCTCGGAAAACGCGAAAGAGAACGCGACGTTTCAACGGTTTCTCGAACGCTTACCGGAGGACAAAGGAAAGCTTGTAAACATATTCCTCGCAAACTTTTTCACGTTACATAATGCTAACGATTTGTTTCACGGTATCGCAATACCATTGACTTTACGTGCCAAATTATCAGGAATTTATACATGTATTCATCAATACACTTGTCAAACACACAGTGCCAATAACGAGAAATAACGAGAGTAAAAGGCATAACGATGTTCCAAAAAAATTATTCCGAAATTTTTTACCATTAGCTATTCAGAGACACAAAAACAGTTTTTTTTTTAACTGGAAATTTTCAAGACAGAATTGACGCGATTTCTCGGATAATTTTTTACGCGACGCTATGTATTGCGATATTTCGGAGCATAGATATATGTACAGGATGCATTTTGGAGTCAGGGATGCGTACAATGACGATACCGAATTTGAAAACTTCTAAATGTTAAGGAACATCAAGGTCGCGTTCCGAGGTTTATCCGCGAAACTTTCTGGCGAGTCCAAAACACATCTCGCGATTTCTCGGATAATTTTTTATACGACGCCATGTATTGCGATATTTCGGAGCATAGGTATATATACAGGATATATTTTGGAATCAGGGGGGATACGTCCAATGACGTTACCAAATTTCAAAACTTCTAAATGTTGAGGAGCATCAAGGTCGCGTTCCGAGGTTTTACCCGCGAAACTTTCTGGCGGGCCCAAAACACATCTCGCAGAGATATTATAACGCATCGATAGCCAATAAATATCCGAAATGTCGAAATGAAATACGCGTATAATTAAAAACACGTGGAACGAGAAAGAGAGAGAGAGGAGAAAGACGAGAATTTTCGGAGACCGGACAGTGGATCGAGATACACGGATCGGGTCTTTAAATTTCGTCGCGCCGCACGGAGCGACTTTCTCGCCGTCGGCCGGGTCCGGGCTACCCAAAACGAGACGAGCCGACGGCGGCACGTGTGTCGACCGCGAGCTGTTGCGTGGTATGCACGAGTGTACGAAAAATCCGCGCCCAGCCAGCGTCATCCGGCAGGTGAGGCGGAGAGGTGAGGAGGAGGAGAACGGAGCGGCGGCGGCGGCGGCGGCGACGGCGACGCGACGGCAAGTAGGTCGTGTGTGTCGCGTGGATAAATAATCGCGCACGAAATCGAAGACGCGATGCGCGCCGATCGATCGATCGGCTGGCCGCGCCTCGCCGGTTACGGGTATATCATATAAAGATTCACAAGGGGGGTATCGCCGATGATACATATGCACGTATGATCGTGTGTGTATATTATATATATATATATATATATACGATACGCACGTACCTCTTCGAAGATGCTGCCGACGTTCGCGGTGATGAGGAGGACCGGGATGCCGTTGCCCGCCATTCTCGCGCGTGAGATTCGGTGGTGTGTGCCTGCTTCTCCGGAGGACTCGAGTTGTTCCCCCGAGTCTCTGATCCCCGAGGGCGCGATCGTCGGCACACGCGCGCGACGGCTGTCGTTGAACGACGACGACGACGACGACGACGACGACGACGACGATGACGACGGCGACGACGGCGACAACTCCGGAGTGCGCGAGTCACAGTCTGTCGACACTCGTACTAATCGAATCCGCACCGCACTGCACTATACTGACGACGACGACGACGACGACGACGGGGCGACGGACGAACACTGGCAGCGAGCAGTAACTGGCAACACTCGCGTCCGCGCGACGATCGACGGCGGCCGCGCACGTCGCTCGCACGCACTCGCACACTACTAACGGACGGCTCGCTCTATCGCGGTCGGCGGTCGCTCGCGCACCTATCTCGCTCGCTCTCTAGTCCAGTCTGTCTCTCCCCTGCGCCGCTACGTCACACACGCTCTCTCTCTCTCTCCTTCTGTCTCTCCCGCGGGGGAGATCCGTCCTCTCTTCTCGCACCGGCCTTCCTCCGATCTCACCGCCGGAGCTGTTCTCGCATCTTTTGGGGAAAGCGCAGCGCCGCGTAAGAGATAAATGCAGTTATCGCGTACACCGTGGCGACGAAGGCGAGAACGAGGAGCAAACTCATCCCCCGCGCCGCGTACGGACGCATGATCTCGACCGCGGGGTCTCGTGTCCTCGTCTCTGTGGCGTGGGCCTCGCGCGCGGGTAAAAGAGTAAGAGTGTGCAAACGCGGCGAGGAAGAAGCCACCCGTATGTACGCTCGCCTTCCTTGCGTTGCGTTGCGTTGCGTTACGTTATGTCGCGTCGCGCGTCGCACGGCGGTTGCGTTGGCGCACACGAGAGAGAAAAGTCGTGCGCGCGGTGTAAATATATCCCTCTATCGGCCAAAGACGATGGGCCGATGGCCACGCCTCCCGTGGACGTCAATAGGCAGTGCCGTGCCTATCGCTGGCGCGTGTCGCGGCTGGCGAACGCGCGCGCCCGTGCGCCGTGCGTGCCGGCAAAGACACGCGTGCGGCTTCGGCTCGGCTGCGGCGTCGAGCGGCGCCCCGCGCCGATCGAGAATCGACGATTTTTCTTTCTTCGCTTGTAACGAGCTAACAAGTAAAAACGAGACCGGTGACATTAGAGATGATCGCTGCCGGAACAAAAAATTCAGCCGCTGAATAACGGAGACTCCGAGGGACAAGGAAGGCCGCGTCGAGGCGTTTATCTCTTATTAGTAAATAAGTTTCTAATTCGATTCTAAAGACTTAATACAGGCGAGAGTAACAAAGTTGAGAGAGTATAATCTACCGCGCCGTTTGAGATAATAATAATAATTTGCTCCAATTACTGCAGGAGATGATCGTTATCTGAGTGAATAAATATTGCAAAAAATAGCCGAGTGGAGAAAAAAAGAGGAAACGTGGAAATGATTCGTGTAGTTCGACAATTGTAAAGAAGGAAGATGCAAATTAATCGGACGGCTCTCGTTTCAGGAAAAAAAAAGAACCGAAAGTCGTCTGCGTGCGATTTGTCAAAAAAAGAAGATAAGCTTGCACGTTCCGTAACGTATCATTCGACGTTCATCAGTGGACCCAAATACCAATCGACCGAGATCGATACTTTCCCAGCCACTCATCGGCGTGCCGTTGGCCGTTTCGAGCACACAGGTGGAGGATGACAGAGCCCGGGGCTTTTACGCGCGAACGACGATCGGCGTTATCGGTGAACGGCCAATATACGTTGTATCATCTCTCGCTCTGCTCGACGTTCGGCACGATTCCCAGGAAAATCCCTGACGGGGGAATCCGCGGATCGCGCGCGTCCATCGGGCGATGTTATTCATCGGGCAAATTTCGAATTTCTGCGCTCTTGGATAACGCACACAGCGCGATCGATCCACGGAGGTTTTCTTGAAAATCTTGAATCACACGAGGTATCTCGTGACGATCGGAAACGTCATCCAGGGCATTCGTCAGCATACGCGTATGCGCGATATTGCGCGATAGTGCGTTTAATGCGTTGCGTTGCGTTCGCGAGTAAAGTTGAATTTGTAAGCGATGATTGGAAAAGGAAGGTCTTTTTAGAAAAAAAAGGAGCCTCGTTACGCGCGATTCTAAGAAGAATGAAACGTTGCATGGAGAGGAATTCTAACGTTTTTCTTAAAGATTCCGTAAGAGAAAATTATAACTCTCAAAGTATAGGAGATTGTTGATACGTTCTTTTTCTTATAGCTTAAATTTTCGTTGCAATTTTTTCAATTTATTATGACGGAAACGTAAACATAAGAGAGCGTGATCTTTTCTTGTTACGGTTTTTGTTACGAGGACTTTTCTTAGCGTGCAGAAAAATACGAATCAATATTTTATACACGGAAAGAACAATTTTGCTGAATCCAGATCTGAAAATAATTTTTGTTCAATAATCATCAAAATAATTTGGTGCAAAGGTCAAAATGATTACTAGAATATCAAAACATTTTATAGCAATGCTTATCAGTTTTAACATTCCAATAAATTATTTTGATGATTCAACAAAAAATTATTTTCAGATCTATATTTAGCAAAATATTTAGATCTTTCAACAAAATCGTCTTTCCGTGTAGGTATATAAGCTAGATGCTATAGATACACAATTTATTCTTTTTTATACTTTTTAATTTTATTTACTTTTTTATTCTTCTTTTCTACTCACAGCCTCTAAATTGTTGCAGTTGAAAAAATAATAAAAATGTAAAAAAAATGCAACCAAGAAGAAAATTAATCCATTGAACTTTTCTAATAATAACTTCGCTAAATAACGAACATTATTATTATATATGATACTTAAGAATATTAAAAACAAGATATTTCGAATTTATTCCTATAATAAGTCATCGTTTTATTTGATTATAAAAGACACTTAAAGACTCGTCAAGAGTCTATTAACTATCTAATAGAATTGTGTTTGTGTCGGGATACCTATTCTTTAAGACCGAATAAAAATTTAACATGCATTCAACACGCAAACAAACGGAATTTGTTAAATAAACGCAAATTTTACCGAACTTTCGAGATTAGTCTATCGTTTTCGCCATCGCATTCCTCGGGACTTCTAAACACGTTGATTTCCAAACCGCATTAGCGGTTAGCCGGCACCGCGTTTTTCGATAAGCTATAAAAACTTATCTGGCATCAGCAGGGTGTCATGCAGATAACAAGCGGGACGGAAGTTTCAGTAAAAGTGTGTCATCGTAATATGTGAAAGGCGATAGTAATAGTTGCGTCAATGAAAGCGATTACGTTTGTTGGAAATATAATTGGTCGTATCAGCGAACGTCATTATCATCTATGCGTGAATGTTATTGCGAGATAAATCGCTCGCGATTCTTAATATACGAAAAGGAATAAATAACGATGGCAGAGCCGTAAATTGAGATTTATTATAGTTCCGGGAGATAACGATAAAAATAGGAGCAATTAAACAATCGTTACGGCGTTTGTTTCTGAGAGGCATAAAAATATCGTTGCATTAAGAAACGGGAGTCTGCATGCAAGCTATTTAATTCTTATCTTTCTCTTTTTAAATGGTTCTTAATGTCGCTAAAATATCCACGATTGCAACTTTTTAATATTTTATTACACGATCGGCAACTCTTTAAATATTTTTTTATGAAAAAAGTGTAAGAACCAAAAGCTACATTAAATATATTTTATGACACTTTATATTTCCTGTCTAGAGTCTTTTATACAAATAATTCGAAACACCATGTCCTTCTGTCCTTGATATTCCATTATATTCTGTGGTCCGTTAATATTCATACATAGAAATTGTTCTATAACGTGTGCGTTATAGAACAATTTCTATGCATGTTTGTGCAGTGGACAGAATATACATCTTGGACTTAACCGAATAAATATTTAATTTTAATGCAATATTTCGAACATTAAACATTCCGACGAATATTTATTGTACCACATATTCCGGTATATTTATTAAAACTACAATCCTGAAAGACACAGGAAGATTTCCAGAGGAAGATTTTATAAGAAAATATCGCTGAGAACGTACGGTCCTGGTGGAACCAGTATATGTATATAGTCGGAAGCGACGTTCCAGCCGCGCATGTGAACGAGGAGTCGCCTGCGCTCCGTTTCGCCTCGAACCTCTCGGATCTTTTTTTTCCCCGGCTGATGTTGTTGATTCGGGCGCAATATCCCCTTCGTCGCGATGTAACGTCGACTACGTCGTTGTACCGCACGCGATTCCAGAGCACCGCGGCTTTACGTAAACACGGCGCATGTGTTTACCCGCGTGCGGGCTTCGACCGTCGCGGTTTTCGTTTCGCATTGTGTTTTCGCGCTGACCCGATCAGCCGCTGACGCATATTGCTGCAGCCGTTTCCGGCTTCCGTGCGGTCACGTTATAGGTCTCGGCACGTGTGCACGGGCTTCGGTGCGTGCGTAAGTGCGTACGTAGTACGACGGCGACGCGACGCACGCGCGACGCCGACGCGGGACGGCGACCGAACGACGGCGACGTCGACGGCGAGGTGACGCGTCGGGAGGTCGCGACGGCGAATTTTCGGTGCCGTAAACAGACTCGGGTCGAGTGCGTCGCGGGTGCGTCGTACGCGAAGTTACAGTAGCACACCTTCGCCGAGGCCGAGATTCGTCGTGTGGGCAAATCCCCTCGCACAAGGTACCTTCTCGACCCGAGGTATCTGGACCACCACCTCGCGTAATAATCGATACCGCGTCGCTCGATTTCCGTGACCCCGCCGGGAAATTCAGGCGGCACGCCAAAAATATCGAGCCGCGTTCGCTCAGGGTTCTTTCTTGGATTCGTATCAGTATACTCGTAGAACTGCCGTGCGCCCGTATTTTCCATCCGATTCTCGTGGAGATATCGGGTTGGATTTCGTGACGCTAGAATGAATCCGTCGTACATTAATTATTACAGGAAAATATAAATTTTCAAGAAGTGGCGTATAATTCAATGCTCTTAATTGTGTTGTACTTTGAATATCATATACAGTGTACTTCTTTTTCATATCTCTCTATAGAGTAATGTGCAGAGAGATTGATGAACCTCTAAAATTTTAATAAATAACCGTACCAGATATACATATTATAGAGAACAGTAAATCCAAAATTACAAGCTTTAATATATTTAAATCATTTTCTCATAATCAGGAAAATAAGTCAAATTGAAGTTTACAAATATGATAAGACTAACAGTAAAATATGTCTTTTCGTCTAAATTCGGATTAGAATGAAAAATTGTTTCAATAATGTACAAATAAAATTTATATTTAAAAAAATAAAAGCTGTTTGAATAAATACCAGAAATCTATCATATTTTACGTATAAATCTCAACCTTTTTAAATTGATCTCTATACATCTATTTGTTAAAACAAATTAAAATTTTTTAATTTATCTATATATCTATTTATTTAAATTTATCTCTATACATCTAAAAAATGTTAGCTTTTTAAAAGTCATCCACGATCTCAGCATTTCTCTTGGTTTTTGAATGTATAATATATTCCTCTACTTTAGTGGTACGAATTAGAATGTATTAGCGTTGTAAACAATAATAAGCTAATAGAATAATTGCTGTATAATAAAAAAGAGAGAGAGATATCTGAGCAAAATTCGAGATTGCTGTCACAATTCGTTGCAGATGGACTGGAGCTTGCATCGCGGAGGAGAATAAAAGTCCTCAACGTCGCGCCTGACTAATACTAATGCTGTATCCCTGGAAAAACTATCGGGAACCACAGATGCAGGGGAGAGTTTTCCGGTCGGGAACAATACGTACTTTTCTCACGTGCAACGCGCATCGTTCCACGTGCTGCCGGGTACAATAATGACAAAATCGAAGGCTGCATCATGGTTTTTACACTAGATACTGTACTGTGAGTCATTCGACGCACGTACGGTGTTGATACTGACGAAACGGATATCGTGTTATACGAGTTCTGCTAAATATCTCGATCAACAAAGGCGCATTAATCGCGCATCGTTTCATCGTAAGTATAAATTGCTTCTGTGCGGCGTGCACAGTCGTCTCTAAGAAGGTTGATAGCGTTTTCGAGTGAACGTGATGTTGAAGAAATCACATTTCATGAAAATGTTTTATAAATAATGTGCGATGGATATTTTCGATCCTGTATCGATTTCTCTATTTTAATTTAGAATGAAATTAAATTAAAATTTTTTAGATATTGCAAAAAATTATCAAAGATAGTAAATCACTAAATGGATTCTTCTCTAAATTATATCGAATTTTACGTATTTTCTCAGCGTTTTTTTTTCAATTCTTTAAAACTTGATCGATAATATCTTATATGAACACAGAAGCGATTACAGAAAAAACCATTCATTGGCGCACTCATCCTGCCTCGTGAGAACCAAGTATATTCGCTCCCAGAGTGCACTCCAAATTCAAGTGTGTAAATCTGTAGTCACTTTTTACGCATTTAAACGCGTGTTATATTTTTACACATTTTATCTGTGTTTTACACAGTTAAATGTATATTTTTTACAGACTTACACATATTGTAAAATTAAGCGTGTAAAAATATGCATTTAATTGTGTAAAACATGGATAAAATGTATAAAAATATAACACGCGTGTAAATGCGTAAAATGACAACAGATTTACACACTCGAATTTGGAGTGTGATTTTGGAGCATTCAGGTCGAAAACGCTCTCATCATCTACGTGATCGTGTCTTGATCATCAATCGACCTTTCATTGACCGGCATTACTCGTTGACACTTTTCAGCACGAAACACAATCATGCATCCGAGTATAATATTACTGTCGACATTGGTGGCCTTCGTCGCCGCCGAGAGCATTCTAATGACAGAAGTCTTTGTCATACCCATCAGACCCGAGACTTTCGACTGGAGTACAGATGGTAACAGACATATATGTATATATATTTATATATATTTACGTATATATTAACCTATTCTATAATTGTTCTTAACAATATCTTATTATTCCTAGTCCCATAACTAACGAATTTCAATATTAATAAACTTTTAATGTCTTAAGAGAGACGTTAAATGTTTATTAAATGAAAGAAAAAACAAAGAAAAAGGGAAAAAATATCGAATTATATATAATATTGTATTCTATTATTTTCACACATATATTACTATCAAATCAGGTGAAAGACAAAATAATTAAAAGTCCTTGAATTCTTCTGTGAATGTGCACACAATTGCTTATCGCTGTCGCATTTTATTTTTATAAAAATTTTTTTATATAATTATCGAGGAAACTTAAAAATGAGATATTTCCTAGATTTCTATATATTAACTTTATTAAAACTAAGGCTATTATTTCTATAAAAGAACATGTGATCTTGAAAAAAATATTCTTGTAAAATAAAATTTTTGCAAAGTCATAACAGACACTTAAACATTAATTATAATTTCTGTTATCATCTATACTATAGGTCAGTACTAAATAATTGTTTCAAGATAAAAGTTATCTAAAATAAGGAATATAATGTTCAGTATAGCTATAATTATCTCACGTAGATACCCGTTAACCCATTTCACAATACGAAATTAAACTATGTCTTCGTACGTCATTCGTAACACGCCGCGAATAGCAATTACTTGTTGAACCGTCGCGTCGTAAACGTTGCGCTGACCTTACGGCCAATATTGTCGCATACCGCGGTACTTTCTAATTCAGCGCCTTCGGACAATTTTAACGATACACGAAACGAGTCATTAAAGTTATTGCCTGCCTTGTATGTAACATTATATCCTTTTTTCAAATTAGACAACGCCGCCTTCCATATGAGTAAAAAAAAAAAATCTATTTCATATTCTTTAAACTTGAATCGATCGATCATTTCGAGAGAGGTGAAAGGATCTCTCGCAGATCTTAAAGATCTTAGATCATGCTTCGGACATATTTAAGCATTTTTATTCACAGAGAAAGATATATGTCTTTATATTTTATTATCACCTTTTTTTCCTTGCTTTTTTTATTAGGATTTATTTAATTAAGAACTTTTTTGTCTCGTTAATTTTATTTTATCTACCGTTTTAATCTTATTTCTTATACATTTATTATTACTGGGCATTTTTATTCCGAATTTTTTACTTTTCTTTTTTGCGATTTTTAAAAGTTTTATTAAAATATTTGTACGAACTTTTTTATTTTTCCATTTAATAATTTTTCTATTATCTTTCTATCACAGATATATTTTATATATTCTTTTCTACATTTCTTATAAATAATTGTTCTGTCGTTTTCTGTCGCGAACGTCTCGGAAATTTATACTGTGTCATCTTATTTCAAGGACACTCCGATCAATTTTCGTATCAGCCATCCTTGCTGAACGCCCCCGATCTTCCGTCATGGATACATTACACCTACAGTAAGAAAGATCATCATGGTTTTTTATACGGCGTCGCGCCCAAAGATCAAAAGTACTTTCAGGTGAATACACAATTACTGCAAATCAATTATAAATCATCAGTTTGCAATTGACAATGCTTGATTGTGATATTAATTTCAGTTGGAGATCGTGGGATTGAACAAGCACACATACGAAACCCGTTACAAAGTACTTGACATGAACGTACTCGAGAGAGAAAATTTAACCAAGTACGAGGTGCACCTGAAAATTGATAATCTTAACGTGGAGGACATGTTCGATCACAATCGCACCCAAAAACTCCTCGATATATTCAGGTCGGTTTCAACATTCTCGATGATAACATACATTAGTCATTTCCTTGCTTATACGAAATGTAAAAATGGGAATTTTTCGATATAACACATATAAAGCGCTTCTCAGAAATATAAACTCAATTGCATAAAGTAAAAAAATAAAAAAATGTATATAATCTTTGAAATTAAGAAATTTTCAAAAAGTAAAATTGATGCGTTTTGTTTCCGAGAAGCTATATCGCTAATTAATGGTAATTAGATAATAAATTATGCCGACAACAACAATCAATTTTAATTGCAGGAAAAAATTGTGGAAAGGCGCTGCGGACTTGTACGTGACTTTTTTGGCGTCTGCAATCGAGCTCGGAGCTCGTTTGCCTCTGAAGCCCAGCGAAGGCGAGGGGTGAGTTGTGTTTCTAAATTATCCCCCTGCCAATTCAATTTAATTCTTATACTCGAGAGAATGGAATTTGCCGCGAGACTTAGGATGGCCAAGCTTCCGACTGTGATTTCTGTCTCTTTTGATTTATAAACCGTTTCGAGCATTCCATTAATTGTCATCAAATATCAAACGAATAGTATTCTCAAACAGTCACAAGCTGCGTTGTGTATATATAGCAAAAACATATCATTAACAAATAATATACATTATTTGTTATTGGAAAATATCAAATAATGTAAAAGCGATGATTTCATTAAACAATTTTCTTCTCGATTCCAGCGTTAATTAATTACGCGACTGACATAAGTTAAAAATTATAAATTGATACGCAATTTCATAGAAACGCATTAATGTGGTATTTGAAGATGAGAATTGTTGAGTGTTGTCACGACGAGACTTTACAGCTTCTCTGATATCGCTGACGTACTAATCGACCGATTAACCGCAAACAGCGCCGTAACGCGGATTCGACGGTTGTTTTTATATAATTGTATGTTGCTACTTCGTACATTGCGCCATCGTCCATTCGATCGTCCGACGGGAAGAACGTAAATACGGTCTCTTATTGGAGGCTGGTTATGTTTAATCTAATTATGTATATGTGGTCGACAACTTTGAGGAGTGGCAGTCATTAAAGAGACAGTAGTTGACATCACAGTCCCGCAGCTGTTCCTCGCTTTCGTCTAACGTTTTATTCGCAATATGTTATATAAATATTAAGCATTTTATTGTCATAAATATTCGAAGTAACGTGTCAATTCATCTGTCATCGAATTGAAGCGAACGTATGGAGCGAGATAACGTCGATCAGGATTTGCATTGCCGTTGCATAAGCTCGCGACGTTGCACTTCGCGCATACAATGCATATTAATAAATATTCTCGAAGTTTAAATCATCTAACATGACGAAGAGTATTGTACGAAGCACCTTGAATCGCGATTAACGATTTTTATCGATTACATCACTGCGGTTAGACGTTGCTTCTCTCTCGCGGCTTTTCTCGCCGTGACGTAGCTCATCGATCGCTTTTTCGCACGGAGATGCGGTCGTTTCCCATAGAATCCGCAATTGAATGACGGCATTCACGGATTTCTCAGAATAAGTCTCCAATTACGTAGAATCGAGCCGATGGACTTTCCATTGGGTATTCACGTAATCGTTACGATTCGCGTAATCGTTACAGTTCGTTGTGACTCCCCCAAGACTTTGATTCTACGGATCAACGATCACGGTACTCCTACGCGATATTTCTGCGGGCACGTAAAACGAACGATAACGCGATTTATCTTCCGCTTTCACGCTCCTCGCGGGAAAACACTTGCGTTCTTTCTCAAACGGGCTTGAGTTTCCTACAATCGACGATTAAGTACACACCATGCGTTATTGATACAGACAATGACTGTTATTTTTAATGACGAGAAGATTCACGTGATGATAAGCGAGAAAAATAAGGAAATTGCAAGCGGACAGTTGTAGCGGATGTAATTTGCAGGCGGGAGCTCGAATCAACTAATATATTTTGAAGTGCGCTTTTTTATGACAAATGAACAATATGATAATAATTAATCTATTTACAATTTGCCTATGTCTAGCTGGACTTGACATAATACTTTGCGATATATAAAGTTTCTTCAAATGTTCGAACAAAAGTGTATGATTGTAATTAGCAAATTGTATTTTTGGAAAATCTTCATAAATTCTTCCAATTAATAAAAATTATTTGACCCATATTAGATCTGCTGATTAAATTACATCGAGGATAAGATTTCACCTTCGCTGATTCGCGAGAAATTGAATCGCAAGGGATTAATTACGAAATCTCAGTAGTTGAGGACTCGGGGACTTGTATTTTACTCATATTTACGCTCATTCTTGCGGAACCGTCGAGGAAAACGATCTCGTGCACGCGAAACGACGGTGAGACAAGTCATGCGCGGTGTTGCTGTTATTGAAGCGCCGCGCGGCGTGGGCCGGTTTCCTTCCGGTGTAACAATATGTGACATAAAAACAACGTGTTTATACGCGACATGAGGCGTGTCGCGTCAAAAGAAATTCAAACGGTTACGAAACCATTGTTGCATTGACATGGCATTGACAAGCGCAGGATGTGACGCGAGATCAGGGCGAGAAAGAGAGAAAGAGACATTGTACGATTTTCGACGTATGATGTAGATTTATGTTTGGGCAAATAACGTCGAAGGCAGAGAAAGAAGAGTAACAGTTTCGTAACGAGATATCGAGCCACAATCATGCTTCCCGGTACCGAGATTGGAAACAATGGCTTTTTCTCTCCTAGAGAACAAGATCAATTAATAATATTGAATAAAAAGTATTTTGCGGTTTTAATCTGTCGAGAGAGATATTCTCGTTGCTCTCACTGATTTTCTGATTCACCACATCTGACTCATTGCGCGCAATTTAAATAAAATCGGATCGTTGTTTCATTGTTAAACGACATGATATGAGTCAACTTCTTTTTTACAAACAAGTTATTCCGCGAAAAATTAGATATCCTTACTTCGAAAGAGTCTTTCATGTTAATTATAAAAATAATGTATATACATGACCTGTAGATATGCTTAACATGACTAAAATTATTCAGTGTTTTATTCATAAGTAACATAAAATGAGACATTTAAGAATGGAAAATCGTCGAGAATTTCTCTTTTTCTATCTCCTTTTTGCGACGCGTGTTTTCTTTTTCTTTTTTTGCGCGCAATGACTGACACAATCGTCCGGATGGAAAACTTTTGCTCCCCGCCGCTGAAACTTCTCGCAGCGGGGTTCGCATCTGCAGCGCGAGTGCGTTCTCGTTTCGCCTGCTAGCGTGTCGCGTTTATCACCGTTACGGATGCTATATCGTCGGAAAAAATGCAACGACGAAACCGCAACGATAAGTAATATAGTCACGGAATTATGGGTCGCTCCTATGAATTACCGTTATTATACCTTGACACCGTCGCGCGTTCGACGAATTTGGATAATCGAGGAGTTACCTTTCATGTCCCGACGTAACGCCCACGTATATTTCTCACGTTATTATACGTGAATCACCATCGTATTGTCGCCGCACATTTGTATCCGATCGACGCGTTGGGCGAAGAGGCGTTTGCCTCGATCGCCTTAAATGTGCGATCGAGCGAAAGTTCGAAATCGTTACGTCCACAATGAGCGGCGGTGATTAATCTCGCGCGACGGCGAGATAAATCGACTATACGGTGTGCCGCAAAGATACCGAAAACACACTCGACCTCGCGATACGGTTAGATAGACAGAAGGAATAAAATGGGCATCCGCGATACCTACTTCTCGGTGGCTCGGGGGACCCGATCGATCCTTGTCCAAACTCTTAGTCTTTCTCGCGCGTCTTTTGCGCTCGAACTAGATTTCTCAGAAGGCGTTATCCGACACTGACAAGAAGTATCGTAGCGCAACACGGAGCGAAAGCTCGAAATCGCGCCCACGATCGCGCGCGAGAGAGCGTCAACGATCAATCTCTCTCACGCGGAAGATAAATCGATTACACACCGACCGATCGTACGTATACTGCATTACTGTCCGATTGTCACACTCAGACTTATTGCGTCGCGCGCGAAGTACGATGACACCGCGACCGAGCACAGTTTGCCCACGGCAATTATTCCCAACGTAAATGCGACATTGTCGTCACGGAATACTTGGCTGACTGACTGGCGGGGACTTGTTTCCACGGGTGATAAGGCCGCGCCTTAGGAGCCACTTCGACCTTAGATACGTATCAGCGCACCGTATCGCTGCGTATCAGTGAAAGCCGGGAGTTCGCGATCGCGAGGGCTTGATTGGGCGCCTCGACACCGCGGACATTGTATTTTGTCTAATCAACTATGGATTATCAGCGTGAATTCCCGAGTATAGCATCGTAAACGAAGTCATGATCCGAATGTATTATGTATGAAGTTTCAAAATTGAAAAAGGTAAACGAATTCGCGCCAGATATGAAAAAAAAAAAACATTTTGTTTTATTTTAAAATTAAAAATCGAAAAAAGAACTTTTTTCAAACAGAAAAAAGTTACGTGGGCAAGTAGAAGTTGAGTTTGCGAAATAGAAGTTAATTTTCCTCTACAGATGCTGGCTGGTTATGTCGAGCTAATATGACATGTATTACTTGCAGCGTATCGTAATGGTTAGTCTCAAAGAGGCTATTATTCGATCGATGGAGTAGTATTTGCGAAAGATATTTAATTTAAATGCGCGAGCTATGTGGACTGCAGCCTGTCATTTCATTTGCACGCAAGTGAAGCTCAGTATATCGTGGAGTAATAATTATATAATTCCGTGGCAAACGGAAGAGATATTGACATCGGTATAGAATATAGCGGAATTACGATTTGGATTTCGCTCAGCTCTAACGGAATAATTATTTAAACAATGCGAGAGGTCGAAGTGTCATCAGGCTACGATTTGCAATCATGAATTATAATTCAAGCGGGGTCACTGATGAAAGATGATGGTTATTCTTCGAAGAGTTAAAGTACGTCTAGCGATATTGGGATAGGTCACGTTTGAAACAAAACATTCGCGCTGGCGAAAGAAAAAAGCGATTAATAATAGTCTTCCGGGTGCACTAACGACATTGACCTACATCGGTGCGGTGTCAACAATTTACGTACTGGGGAACAATCGTCTATGCGTTTATTGTTAATGCACGCTCGTACAACGTATACGGGCAAAAGTCCCACGCGCGCTACTTAAAGGAATCCTTGACGGGAATGACGCAAATACCGTGGATATCGCGATATGATCCGCCCGATCGTTCGATCGTGTCGCGAGTACAGGTTTCCTCGTATAACGCCGCGAGGCGACGGCTCTTTGTCTCGAAGGTGAATCTTCCTCGATTCAACGCTCTCGTGCGAGCGCATTTTACATCTCGTCAAAACATCTCTGACATATTTTGCTAACGTCAACAAGAGGTATCGTTTCCATTTCAGAGTCGTCGTGAGGCTGGGTAGTACCGTACCGTTCTCGCAGGAATTGAACGAGTTGCAGGAGGAGGTCAAGCCGCTATGGAAAATGCCGTCGTGCCCCAGAGACTTCAAGAGGACCAGCGTGGAGATACTCTTCCGCGAGGCTGAGTTCAGATTGGACTGGTGCTCCTTCAGATTAGTGAGTTGCGGTCGGATTAAATTGCGCCGCGCTTACACGCGGAGACTTTATTCATTTGCCGTGATTAATGTTGTACGCCCGCGAGAGGAGTCTCTCTCTCTCTCTCTCTCTCTCTCTCTCTCTCTCCGTGTGTCTCTTTGACTACCTTTGCTCTGCTGTTTGTAACGTTCACTCGCGTAATTTGTCTTGCACAAAATTATGCAAATACAATTGCGTGTGAATTATGCTGTCACGTCGGCACTATTACGTCAGTACAAGTCAGTATCGAATCTACAATACGTATTAATTACCTTTTCGTGAACTACGCACATTTCCTGACACGTCATTGTATATTTCACTCGTAACGTCACCGCATATCTCTCGCGTATTGTCAGTCATCCTTAATTTACATTTTACAAAATGCAGATAGTTCCGCAGTCTTGTCTCGATCAATCAATTTCGATTTCACGCAAAATTTTTACGTAAAATGCCAATCGCACTACTATTTATATAAATAGTCTATAAACACCTTGTGTTGCATGATATTCCCCTCGCTACTTACGCGATAAAGACGTAATTTTTGCAGCTAGAGGAAGATCAACAGAGTCTGCAGCACGAGAGCGCCCGGAGGGGCCCTAGCGTCGTGGGTCTACCCTCGTCGGGCATCTCCGAGCACACGGAGTGGCGGTGGGCCCGTTCGACGAAGGCCAGCATACCCACGAGAAGCTACTTCAAGGAGATCGCCACCACGATTTTCGTACCGGTCGTCCTGCTCCTCGTGCTGGGCGCCTTACTTAGCACAGCTTTCTGCCTACATCACGAGAAAATGTAAGCGCTCGATACACTCGTTGGAAGAAAACTGGCTCGAAGCTACTTTGAAGCGACGATCATTTGCATTTCAGAAAAATTATTTTTAGCAACTTGATTTGCATATTTCTAACTTGCATTAGAAGTGGAATATTTATGTTTTACATCTACTTATTTTTTTTTATCTTTGATATTAGTTAACTCTTTTTTACGTCCTGACGACGCGCGTATAAGAAATCGCGATATGAAATTATAGGCTGAAAGTGCACGAGATAAAAATGTCGCAAAGTCGAAGTCTTCGACTAGCTAAGTAAAATTATTGTGCATTGTTTTCGGGATCAAATCAGAGATAAAATAATATCAGTGAATCCAAGAATAGGACACGATATCGGATAAAATATACAAACAATGTAAATAAATAGTAATAAATTTAAAAAAAGAACATACACGCTATATAATGTATTAATAAACACATAAGTGGTCTAAAATGATGTATTATTAAATTTTAATTGTAATATTTATAACACATATAAAAACAAGATGATATATTGTAGGTTTTTTGCCGTTAAAACGTGTAAATGTGATGAAAAAAAAATAAAATGATGAAATTTCGCATTGACAAAAAAAAAAGGATAAGATTACTCAGAGACACACGTGTCACAAAGTGACATTCACGAAAGAGAATAAGCAAGAAACTCTCGCGAATGTAAAATGTTGGCTTCCGAAATAAAAATGAAATTTATTCGATTTATAGCAATTTTGCTAGTAATTATGTTGAATGAAGAACAAATAGCTATTATCAAAAATACAGTTTTATACAAAGTGGCCGACCACTATTTTAATAATCCAAAAACTGGTTTTTGCTGAGCAAACATTTTTTTCAGAAGCCTAATTAAAAATATATTTAATCACCAGAATATTTAATATTGAAAGCTAAAAGACTTGGAATAATAAAGCACCATCAATCTTTTGCCGTGAAAAAAAATCTCTTTTTTAAATTAGACAAAGATAGAAGAAGTTTTTATATATATAGCTAATTCCATTTTGTAAGATTAAGAGCCTGGCATTTTGCTGTATACATTCATGTTCCAGTTTCCTTTTCTTGCAACTCAAGGCAATAAAAACGAACGTTCAGGGTCGGTTAATTTGCGGCTGATGAGTTGCAAAGGGGCGGGCACTATCTTTCGAGAGGTATGCAGTAAAAAGTATTGAAATCACATAGTCATTGGGATAATGTCATTTACATACGCGACACAAACAACCAGCAGGCAGAATATAGGATCGAGATTTTTGTACGTGTGATATAACTGATCCAATTATGATCTTATTATGGACTCTATGTGCGTCACTGTGTTTATTTTGCGCGCATACTTATTTAGCCGGTAAAACAAAGGATGACTATAAACCTATTTGGATCCAAATACTCCAAATCATTAACGGCGATTAAACTGATAACGCATTGACAGATTTAATATATCGTTTATAATTTTTAATACGAGTTTTTTTACGATATATAATTTCTAGCCATCATCAAACATTTCACTTTTCAAACCACAAACTATCGAAACAGCTATTACTGCCGATAATTTCTAAATATTTCCGAGAACGAAATGATTGGTCTTTCTTTTTCTCTCTTATTGGTTTCCGGCAATGCTTAATTAGCTGGCTGTCAATAACATCGGTAACGCTCCGCGGCGATGTCTCTGACAGGAAATAGAAAAGAGAAAAAAGAGACGAAAAAAACAGAGAAAAGAAAACATGGAGGAGAAATGGAAAGAAGGCGCAAACAAATTAAAAAAAGAAGAAAATGAATGGAATAAGAAAGAGAGAACGATAACAGAAAAAAAGAAAAAAACCATCGATTGATCAATACGATGAATTCCATATTTATTTGATTCTCAATATTTTCGATGACGTCAAATTTAATAACATCGGGTACTACGCTGATGATATAAAGAGAAAAATCGAGATTTTTTAAAAATATTTATACCTAGTCACAACGATGACGATGCGAAATGGTATCACCTGATCTTTCTCGTTTTTTTTTTTTTTTCATTAAACGCTCGCGCTCGTCATACATGCGAACACTGTTACTATTTTGGCATACGAGCGGTTTTGTTTCTCTGCCGCGTGTACACACTTGTCACTGCGTGCGTGGCGTACATGCGTGCATCCATGCGTGCACGCTTGTATACGTATGTACGTGCGTGCGTGCGCGTACGTGCGTGAAAGCATGGACGAACGGGTAAGTGACCGCGAGTGATCGGCGTTTTACGATCAACAGTCAGATGGTGTATGACGCGATCGAGATCGGTGTGACGCAATGGAATCGCTTATCGGCGATCGCCGCCGCCGCCGCCGCCGCCGCCGCCGCCGCCGCTGGCTCGTTCACGCGGAAATAGATTGATGTGTCTGCGATCGGCTTGATTTCCGCCGTGATCGGTGATCACGCAACGCGTGCTAATTTTACATTCCGATCGATGTAAACACTGGCTGGGTTTTGTATTCTTGAATCGGCGTCTGGCCGCGCATCTACTAAAATTTCCTCCACTATCGCAGCTCTCTCTTTCTCTCTCTCTCGCTTGTCCCCGCAATCGCGACGCGTTGCGAGCAATGATCGATGTGTGTGCCACTGCTTAAACAACACTACGTCATTTCGCGAATTTATGTATACTTATGTAAGAAAAAAGAATGCTAAATTTAATTTTACTAAGCGAATGATCTCAGGTGACCAATTAACAATACATCTTTTGATATAAAAAAAAAAAGATAAAATTCTTCCAACAATACAAATGACTAAAAGTTCATCCAACGAAATACGCGTCCAATTGCAAAAAAATTTAAAAAAATAATTACTTAACAAAAAGACGTAAAAACCGATTTAATATATAATTCAAGCGTAAAAAAAATTAATAGATGCTTGAACGATATCTAAAGAATCTTAACCTTTGAACCACCACGCCCAAAAAAATCACAATGTCGGTCTGACAGACTGCTCTCGCTAATTTTATAAGTTAATTATAATAAAAATGTATGTTTTCTGAATACTTGTTGATGGGGAAAATAAAAACTATGTTTTAATTTGAGGGTTAACAAAAAATCTCATATACAATAGAAATAAAATATATTTAAATGGTGACAAATAAGAAAATTGTTGACAAGTAACGTTCCAATAGCGGTCTGTGAGACCGACATAGTGGTTTAAAGATTAAAAATGTTTTTAAAGCATATTCAACATTTTGCGTATGTGTGATTACACTTCGGGTATTGTTTTATATCTCATATACTAGATGCTCCCCGTATGTTCAATAAAAGATGTGGAATGGGGCGGGAATTTCTAATAATACCTACAAGTTCGCAAAATGACATAACGCTGCTTCAGTTGAACGCTTCAATTGCCGGCCACAAAAGCGGCATGGCCCGGCTTCACTGCACCGCTGTAAAAGGCGTGAAGTGCCCGGAAATGATGCTTACAATGGCTACAAAAGCCACTTTACAAAGTTACCGCGTAAGTGCTACCATAAAATCTATCGGCTTTTCTATATGCACTTATGAAAACGTGCTCCAACTGAAGGATTTTGTCCGTATTTTTTATATATCCGCGTATGGAATGTTCATGCAAATTAAATTGCTAGGAAAAAAATGTATCGTTCAACCTGCCTGGAATTATTAAGTATAAACGAATCGCTCTGAGTTTCTTTCAATTCTGCCATGCCGTATCAACGTCAAGAGATTGATCTAATTTGACCTAGAGGTCTTCATTGCAAGCGTCTTTTCGTCGCTTTATCGGCCACTTTGCGAGACACTTTTACCTCGGCAATGCACAGCATGCAACTCGTTACTTTCGATAATATACCGGCTAATCTATTATAATTAGGCGTTTTACGTCATGGTATTTATCATAAATATTTAGTGAAACCTCTTGAACCTTAATTCCAACGATAATGCGTATATTCAAACGATACACAAAATCGCATCTAATCTAATCGTCTAACGTCAATATTTTTTGCGACGGAGAGCAGTAAAACTGTTGAGGTAATTTATAAACAGCTCACATCAGTACGCGAGTTTACGATCGTTGGGGAAATAAACATGAATCTTATAATCGCGCTCTGTTCGCCAAGTGTTAATAAGTCTATTACTAAACATCCGGTACGTAATAATTATGAAACGCGTTCGACCGAACGCGTTATATGACGTGTTATATGACGTAAACATCATCAATCGTTAATATAATATTTATGTAAAATATTTTACACTTATTGTAAAATATATAGACATAACAATTTCGACGAATTCATCTTCGACGTTCCAATATTTTTTACATTCATCCCGTAATGGCAAGGATTCCAATTATTAGCGTTCTTTCCTCGGCGAGATATCGCGGCACTGCATGTTACGGACGTATTCGATATGCGTCCATAATTAGAAGCGTATCGCGGTGCGTGCGCGATTAAAGCGGAATGCGGCGGAACTTACGTTAACGGCTTTTAATCGGGTCGCCGGTTGCGCTCGGGTGCGGTGCACGATATTCGGCGGAGTAATTCGCCGGGCGACCCTGCCCAAAGCGCCGCTCGCACGCACTCGCGGTGCGTGCGTATCTTCGAGTACAATCGCGCGACAATTTTCATCGGCGGCGTCGCGATAACAAGTCAATTACGTCGTGCCATTACGTGACGATTGACGTAACCGCTGACGCAGCCGCGTGCATTTCGCGCTGCTACGGGCGTCGAGAACACGGCGGGATCTATTTGAAGTCACGATTGTGATGATACGCACATGCATTTCCGCGTTTCTTTGTCGAATCGCTCGCGTTCCCCGGGGAGTACCCGAGTACAATTGCCGTGCCGCGATCAAGGTAATCGCGCGGTTGATAGTGCGCAAACAGGAACAGGACTCGAGCGTCATAGGCGCAATATGACTCATTAAAAAGTTCTGACGGTTACGCGAACCGGAGAGAGAAGCCCGCGAGTGAGAATCCGTTCGTCGAAATATATACGATTCGGACGGAAGTGTGTCCTGGAAGCCATAACGATAGAAGTACGGCTTTCGTCGAAATTATACGAGCCAGTTTTTAACAGTGCGATCTCTTTGATTTAGAATCTCGCGTGACTTTCTTCCCGTTCTACGATAAATATATGAATATTAATTACGGCAAAATTCTATTAAATACAAGAAGAATATTTAAATTAGCAGAGATTCAAATAAATGTTTAGTCGCGGACAAAAAATAATGTTGTGGAGAAAGAATGATATTTCATAAATTTCATTACAATATCTTTATAGATCGTCAATTGTAAGAATAATTGGAAATATTTGCAACAATCGGTTAACAATTTGTATTTAGAGGAATACGATTCATTAATTTAACGTTGCAGCGTTAATAGCAAATTAATGACGTAAGTCTACAATATATCTGACAAAGTTTCATAAGTGTTTATATGGTTTCTTCACTTTTTATTATGCCTTATGTATGTTCGTGGCTCCGAGGCTCGCGACTATTGTGTTCTGACGCAAATGGTAATTAAAATACCAGCCGTTGCGGGAAAAATAGCATTGTCAGAGTCTCATTATAAGAATCAATTTTTGTTTTTAGAATACAATTTAATTTATGGATGTTATTGTGATATAATTTATGATTGACGCAAACGTTAAATCGAGCGGGCGAAGGTTTGTATTACGTTGTATAACGATATTAATTGATCGCATATTTGAAGGCATTCTCTTGCGGCGAGTAAAAGTAGGTATTCATGTTTTATTTTCGTAGGACGGATCCGGAGTCAGATGAATATTTCGATGAACTCTTTAATATTTTCCTTTTGAGAGAACAACCCGTCAGGTATGTTCACTCTGTCATCGCACAAAATAATCTAGTTCTTTAATAAGTACTAATTTCCGTAAAGTTACATGACGTTATACTAAAATTCTACTAATTTCATGTTTGACGTAAGTCGTAATATCTCGCGAATTAAAAAAATTATCAGCTGACTGTACCGTTTCAATTTAGTTCGGGATGAAATTTGTTTTAATAATTTTGTATATTTTCTAAGCTTTCCTAATTTATGCGTATATTTGCATGTTACATAATACTTTACACGTTTAAACATAACGACGCTAGGATTGATAAACGCTTCTTAAAACTTTACAAATGAAGATTAATGGCACTTATGTTCGTCATACGATAACTATGACGACAAAGTAACGGCTAGCGCAGGCTCGAAGCCGGATTTTAATTTTATTCACGATCCTTAAACTCCATCCTTGTTGCAACACGCGCGCGCGAATTCTGGAGGACCGCGCGAGGAAATTAATGTTTCGCTAAATTTAAATACAAAAATCAATATATCCCGCTTTAACCGAGATATTCCTATTTTTGCAGAGAGAAGCGGGAGCCCACGCCGGGGGAGGGGGTCGGAAACAACGGAATACAAATGGTGCAGTACGCTATGCCGGAGAGAGGCACTCTGAAATCGCTGTCGGCCCAGCCGTCGAGTCCGGACGAATCTCTATCGCGAAGTCCAAGGTATAGAGATTGCCTGTGGTGTAGGCTGCGTTCGTTCGAAACGTCACTCGTGGCCCCGGTGTATCATTTTACCCCTGTCCAATATTCGATGAACAAGAAGAATATTCGATATTAAACGATACACGGAGGCGCTCGGATGATTTTTCCGAACGCTTTACAGCCGTGATTTCGCGCGGCGATTTTAAGTCTTGTCTGATTTTAAGTCTGACTTTACAGAAAGATCTTCGTTGCAGATTATGTTAGATACGTTGTTAGATTCTATCATATTTTCATAAATTTTCCATTCGGGGGACACCGATCAAATGCAGGGTCCGCGTGCTATCGTGCGTCTTTTACAACGAATCAAACGCGTGCAAATCATACCGGTTTCGATTTCTAGAAATCTAAGAGCGTGAACAACATTCGATGAATATTCAAGTCATTTTTTGCCCCCACGCGGGGGAAACCTCTTTCTCGAGAGATCCTGTTTCAGATAAGACGCAAAAAAAAAATTCCACGACAGATTATCTCGTTTATTACGTATGCCGCTTCTGGCATAACAGGACATCATTTCTTAGGAAGAGAACATGCACGCGTAACTCGCAAGGAGATTCATTAATCAAAACGAACGCATCAACGTACTACACTACTATACATATGCGCGCGCTATAATTATTTCCAGTAAAATACACTTCAGTGCAATCGCATTGCGAATCTGTTACGTGGAAGTCGTAAAGAGGCAATCGTACGCGCGCGAAATCGTGTGAATTTTTCTTCACTTTTTACAATCGTATAATTACGTAAGAGCATAATTGCAAGCGTAGGAGCTATGCACTGCTTATACGGATACCCGTTTTGAATTATTTAACTGACGAAGACAAAGTTTCGGAAGAAGGTTAACCTTTAAACCACCACGCCCAAAAAAAATCACACCAATCACAACGTCGGTCTGACAGACCGCTATTATATGCTGCCGCTAATTTTATAATTATAATAAAAATGTATATTTTCTGAATATTTGTTGATGGGGAAAAAGAAAACTATGTTTTAAAGTAAAGGCTAAAAAAAATATCTCGTATACAATACAAATAAAATATATTTAAATGGTGGCAAATAAGAAAATTGTTGACAAGTAAACGTTTCAATAGCCGTCCGTGAGATCGATATAGTGGTTTAAAGTTTAAAGAACCTATAGAGGCATTTAAAGAATTCGATAGACACTGAAAGAATTTAAAAGACTTGAGAAGTCAAAAGAGCTGCTTTACCCAGGCAGAACAGCAGATCACGATATCGTCAAAATGACGTTAAAATGACTCATAATTGATCGAAAAGTGACTTTTAATGATCGTTTTGATGTCATGATGACTTGTTGTTCTGCTTGGATTATTCGCCGGTGACTCTTACACTTTTTTCTGCAATAAAAATAATTTCAAGCGGTGCTTTAACACGAACATAAAATTTTTTATATTATTTTTTAGAATCTCCGGCGAACGCTGCAACCCATACGTTCGTCCAAATCCGCCGCCTTACGCTGGACCAAGCAACTTGTAAGTATATACTTCCGAATCGCACACACACATGGACACGCGACTTTTACATATGTATATATATGTACGATTTATTTCCTAATCCGCGTAATTTATGTATCCGGTTTTCGTGTTCGCAGCGCCGGCCTACGCGCCGATTTCTGACTACACGAGCAGCCCGCGAAAACCTGGTTCTGCTAAGTGAAATACAGTTCGCGGGCGGCTTTCAACTCGACGTTCCGAGAAAGGTATATGAGCCGAGTGTATTGCAAACTCATCGAAACCGGCTCCAAATTTGCAAGTTGAATCACATCAAATACGCACGTCGCTTATTATCGGTAACCATAAACATGCGTTGCGTCACGCCTTCCGAGCAATATATCAGCGGATTCGTTACAATACGTTAAGTGTCCCGTCTGAGAAGTCGATGTGCGTCTGAAAGATTTTTCGGAATCTACAATTTATTCCGATAGAATAGAATAGATAAAATAGATGCGTTGTGCGAATATATATATAAAAAGAAGAATTTTCCTTCAAAGTAGCACTGTGTACAATTATTTGCACCGCAATACGATAATATGAATATTGTGTAACATATGAGATTTATAATACATTATAAAATATAATCGTAGGGAAGTTTGTATTGAAGAAATAAATGTGTTTAGACTAGAAACGTTGTTCTTCAATTCGTACTTGTTCTCATATCGACAATAGGCAATCGAAAGTGAAATTAATTATCTCGTCGATATGCAAGTTTCATGAAAGAACTTTTGCGTTTTGTAATCCTTATCAAGGACTCGTAAAAGGAAATGGAATAACGCGGCTTACTCGAAAGATAAATATTACTCGACGAATTAAGGATCATTTGTCGCCAAGGCGGTCATTAGAATTGTCTTGACGCACGTACATACCTTGATCAGCTGTAATCGTTAACTTTCTACCGGGTGTCGTGTTTGGAGAGAGAGAAACAAAAAGACAGATCGGTTGCGACGAGTCGGTTGCGGGGCAGGACGGGAACGAGAACGAGAGCGACGGAAGCGCGGGATCTGTGGAGGATGCAAAAGCGTGGATGAGAGAATTTTTCGCTCCTCGCGGATCTTGCAGCTCGAACGGACGACCGAGAGCTGACCTTTCACTTTCCGACGGGG